CTGCTTATCATTTACTTTTCCATACAGTAGCCTAACAAACCATTGTGATATAAAATGCGTAATTACGAAAATATGCGTAATTAAACCAAAATACTGTAGTATTTTCTCCCCTCTCTTACCCCACCTACCCCTAAATAAAAAAAACCCAACCCAAATAGGCCTACACCAACTACGTAGGCCTATGACATATTTATATTTCATAGATGCGGGTAATGTTTATTGAGACAGATTAAAGACTCATATTTAAAGTCATATTTAATCAGAACGATTCCAGTGTTCCAAGCAACATCCTAACGCCGCTTGGATTTACTGCAACTGTCAGAGTATCTCGTTTACCAAACGTCCCTAGTTTTTTCCGCGAAAATACATCAACAATCGTGTAAGTGTTATTAGAATTTGCACCAGCATCTTGTAAAATAACTGAAAATTTGGTGGGAGTTCCATCCGTTCGTCTGCTCAGGAAAACCAAGACTATCTTCTGAGAGTTGGCAATGTTCTTGGACCATACTTCAATATCATCCGCCTGATTATGACGACAACCATGGGTTGACAATGAAATGAACATGAAAAAATGATTATAAATACAACATGAATACTGTGGAAAGGCCTTAAGCCAATTTACATCGATATACAAACAAGGCAAACAAATATAAAAAAAAAATTCAGATTAAGTTTTCCAAGACAATATTTTCAATTTTATTAGAATTCAAAGTATTAATTAAAACCATACTGTGTACCATGATATTCCACCAAGGGATTAATATTATTAAGTGTGCATGTTTACTTAGCAGGCAATTTTTAGCTTTTTAAAAGTCAAGCTAAATAGTGCACAGTAACGTTGTGGCACAAAGTTCCATAAATAAATTCATTTTAAGACACATGCATATGTAAGGACGTAATTCAATTCATGCAATTATATCAGCAAAAGATAGAAAGCACTAATGAGCTATGGTGCAAAAGTAATTAAAATTTAGTGGTATTGTACAAAAACTTTTAAAAATAATGTGTTATACTTTCGGGGACACAGATGGGTCAGAGTATTGATTAATATTTTTGAAAGTCCGAGTGCAGATCGTAAGGGGCAGCAAACTCAAACATTTGCAAGTTAAAACAAATAAAAACAAGAACACTGCATTGGCATCAATGTAATCGGTAAGAGTAGGTCTAATTAGTGATGGCCCGAAAAGGTCTTGACTTTCACCCCATGTATTATTTGCAAGAACGATACTTTTAATACATCTTCCTTGACTACACACACCTTTTTCAACAATAATATAAATATACGGCCATTCAAAACTCAGTATATTTTGAATTTATCAAATTTCTTTTCACACAAAGGCATTTTCAAAAATTTCACCTCTTAATTTAACTATCGAAATTTCTAAATTCTTTAAAAAAACATTTTGTGATGTTTTGGATATTTTGCTCTCGTTTGCAATTGTTGTTATCAATTTAAGTTTAATTTATCAAGTAAAGGGAGACTTTGACATAGGTGAAACCTCGCCTGATCCAATGGTAATATGTTATTTTCTTAATAATGTACTTCGTATAATATAATGTTGCCAAACTGAATAAAGAGCAAACATAACATAGACATGAATCACGGCTTGAATATTTGAATCAATATCTCCTTGTAGCAAAATTATCATGATGTTTAGTAATTCGAGATAAACTGACTATTTGAATCATCAAATGTCTGCATTTGATTTGGCTTTGCTTGACTGGGGTACGCATGAATTAACGATATCCCATTCGGGTTAATGATGGTGCTAAAGAAACTATCAGTGTCAAAGTCAGCAATATCTTTATCTTCAAACACCTCAATGAGGAAATATATACCAGGCCGTAGACCCAACTCTTTCAGTTGTATGGTAAAATTGAGCGGTCTGCCCTCTGAGCCACGATTCAAGAATGCCAACACATATTCATCAAGTGGAAAAACACGTGACCAGACTTCGACATTCCCCTTCTGAAATTGAAAATTTGGCAAATTTCGAGTGGAATTAAATGCTCTTCTATTTACATTCAAATCGATACTGAATGTTTATGTTTATAATATTAGTGTTTCTAATATGTAGAGTATGAAATATAGTTACGACCATTAGAAGACACAAAGAACAAAGTATTAATCTCCTATGGGACCTTACAACACACAGGTGAACTACACTAACTGATTTATGGGATGCAAGTGGGTTATCCTGCTCCCTGCTGTAAAGTGCATAAAGGTATTTTACATTATGCTCTATAAAAGTTGACAATTATTATTATTATTATCCTCAGAATGTTCATGCATGAATAAAAAATATCATGAGATGAAGATTAAGCTATGCCAGTTGATGAGAGGTTTGGAAAAAAGGGATAACAATTAGATTTTGATTATCATTATCATCCATTCCATGGAAGACTGATAGGAGAAATGTTACAAATGCAGAAAACAACATTTAGGTCTGAATCTTTAGTTTATTAATATTGCTATTCACATCTGTTATATACTATATTAATTTCATGATTTTTGTTTAGAAATCAATAAAAATGGGAACTGTTTAGTCTGTCATTATTAAAGATGAACTGTCTGTCCAAGCTAAAAATACTATTAAATAATGTAATTTGCCTCATTTATATACTGTATTTAAGAAAGTTAAATGGAAATTACTTGTTTAATCATTGATCTATTCTCTTTGACTTCTGATCATAAATATAAAATTATTCAAAATATAAATGTATAATTAACAAGAACAAGAGTCAAAAGGTATAAGAAGGCACATTCAGCTTGTTATTCTAGTAGATAATGCTCTTAAGTACAAGATATCAAGATAATTGAATATTCTTTTTGTATTATAAACCTTGTGGTTTTAGCTGAAAGACTGAAAAAATGTAAAATAGTATTGACATTGGAAATTTATATATTTACATAGTATAACAACTATAACTAATTCAGTTTCCATATCTTAATAGTGTTAAAATAAACAAATACTAATTCTGTTGGATTTGCTTAATATTATTACATCTGTCAAATACTGCTCAAATTTGCATGCCCTATCACTTACCCTAAGGAAATGCTGTGTCTAAACCAATAAACTCCTATTGCTAAATATCAACTTGTCTAAAGTACAGCAACCCTACATTATGACATAGGCTTACAGGTATGCATACAGGGCAGAAATATTGAATTCAAAAGAAATTGGGGATAACTATACAAATCAGAAGGGACTTCATTTTAATAACATTCATAAAAAAATTACATTACTACCAAATTAATTCATTTGAATAAAAGCACAATTTTAAAAATTAAACTAAAATTTTTATAATTTTGAAAAAATTAGACCTCAGGATGGGATGGAGTAGACCACATCCCTTGTTCAAGTATTTTAATAAACTCTAAGTTGTGGGTGTGGCCTTAAACATGACAGCACCATTAGGGTTGACTTTAATGGCTAGTGTTTCATTGAGAAAGAAGTGTCCCAGGGGTTTGTTATCAGTGATATCAAACAAGTCATAACCCTTTGGTGCAGAAAACTTCAGAGTTTCTAGTGTGGTCTCAAAAATAGCAGGCATGCTCTGACTGCGACTAAAGATAACAGCAGCCAATGAATTTGATGATAGCTCTCGTGTCCATACCTCCATATGTGACTTTGTCTGTGGAGTGAGTTGAAATGAATTTTAAAACAAAAATAATAAAGACAACTAATAATTACATAATTAATATAATAACAGGAGGAAAAACAGTATGAAGGAAATAGTATAGCACCAGCCTTATTCCCCAGATGATAGTTTATACCAGAGTACCACCACAATGAATATCAGAAAATATCGACACTAACACAGAACAGTATGATGAAAGTAGGGTAGGGTATCACCAGTCTTATTCCTCAGATTATAGTTTACACCAGAGTACCGCCACCATGTATTATCAGAATATATCGACACTAACACAATATATTTACACACAAAGTAAATTCAAATTTCAATGCTAAAAATTCATCAATAAATTAGCTGAGCCACTACGCTTCTTAAAAATCCTCAAAATAAAAACAAAAATATGCAAAAGCAATACACCTATCTACATGAAAAGTTGAAAATCTTGTTATTTGTTATGTTTTTAAAATAAATAAATTGTTTAAGTATAGGGTGTGTAGCTTTAATTAAATAATTATTATCACTAAGACATTGTGTAAGCAAATTTCATTCACAGAATTATCACAATTATTACAAAATTATGGAGCATTTGCCAAGCACATGGGATAAAAAGGAAATGTATTGTGACTATGTCTATTTGTAATTTCAGGGTCCAGTAACAAGTAGCAAAGGTAGAATTAATAGCATAATTTCGATGTTGTTTCAGGTAAGGCAAAACACCACTCCCAATAGCATCATGTTTGCATGATACATTCATACATAGAGCCAACTGATGAAAATGTAACACCCATTGTTACCATGTAATTAGCAGATGCTGCTTTTTTGGTTAATAGGTTAAAGAAATAAATTAGCATTCCCTTGTTTTGACATCAGAAGTTCAATCATAAAATATTGTGACACTCATTGTAGTACATTATTGAGGTCATGATTTTTTGATCAATCAGAGCATGAACTGTTTGGAATATTTTATGGTATGCATTGAATGTTCAATGATGTAAACACATTGGATATTAGGAATAACTTCTAGGAAATGAATTCTTTCAAAACAACTTACTTGCAAGACACGCTTCCCCATTTGCCCTTTTGGATCTTGGTTTATTTTAATCACTTCCTTGTTAAGAAGAATCTCTCTGAATTCAGGGGATATGGTTCTAAGGTCATTAGACATGAGCAGAGGAGCAGCTAAGATTGACCACATTGCCATCTGAGCCTTGGCTTGCTCAACACTTAATGAAAAGTCTCCAATGATCAACTGTAAAGACAAATTTAATCCATATTATGACTTTTTGATACAGATAAATTTTAATCTATATTTTTAATACATATATTTTTATCTTGGTATTTAAAT